TTTATGCTGCGACGCAGGAGTCCACTGCGACGGCGGGTCGTGTGTGTTTGCAGCGGGCCTGAAAGACGAAACGACTCGAGGGATCACTGCCTTTAACCCTGAAGAAGGCACGCGGCAGCTTCTAGGGGACGGCATTTCGTTTGCTTGGTTTACTGGCGACAAAATTGTAATTAAACACTTTCAAATTACAAATTTATACGAAAATAGTTTTGCTTCAACATATAGGTGTTGTGGTGCGTTATCGTTGGCATTTCTAATGAAATAATTATAAACGTTGTCATTGCCAACAATAGTATTTATTATAAGAGCAGCTTTCGATCATCATCAGTTGTCTAGTACAAGAAGAAAAAACAAAACATTAAAACGTGAATATTCTTTTGATTTTACAACAAAATTATAATAAAGTTTACTAATAATTTACATTTTTTTGGAAAATATATTTAACATTCGAGGAAATGGAAGGAAGAAAAATGTGGGGGGGGGGGTAAGTCATTTAATACTAAAGGAAAGTGAATGAAATAGAATTAGGACACGTAAAATTTTGAAACATTACCTTTTTTACGAATTTCGTCTTTTTTACTTCATGTTACAACTGCACCCAGTGCCTGCCACACCCTGAATCGAATCTTGAAGGCGTACAAAACGTTTTTACTAAGCTTTCTGCACTTCGCCTCTGATGACAGTGCTAGCTCGTCTAGTCCAACATGGAAAAGCGCGGTATTCTCAGAATTTTGACCATGCTCCACATGGTTCGAACGAGGAGCTGCCCAGGAGCTGATGCGATCTTTCGGTGAGGCTCCGAACTAACAGGAAGCAGCTGACAATCAACGTGAAGGAACTTCGTACGAAAGAAATGAGTATTTGGTCAACAGAAGAAATTCGCGCGGCTTTTTGAGAAAAATTTTCCTGAGGGCCATGTTTGAAATGTATAATCCTTTCCTCTGAAAAGCCTTCAAAGAACATCAAAAAGGCGCTATTAAAAAACAAGGCGCCAAATTTGAAGCGCCACAACCGACACATTCTTATTACGTGACACATAAGCGCAATATGTTCTCGCATGTATGTTTTTATAAACAAATGGAATATATTATGAAAAACGTAATATTGTTCGCGGTATTTAATGCTAACAAGTCATGGTAATAAAAAAGGGCCATTTAGCGTCCAGTTTTCCTGACTACAAATACGGGACAGGGACTCAAAATAAGGGACTGTTCAGCTCAAGCGTCGGTGAAACATCTGAAGAGAGTAGCAACGGAAGGCTAGTGACAGAAATCCGCCATCTTGGCGATCTTCGAGCCCTAGGGACTCGCGGTCAGAGTCGCTGCAGTGACGACTGCAATCCCGGCTCTCAGCCAAATCCGCCACTCGAAGAGACAACTGACGGCGCAGCTTCAAAGCGAAGTCGAGCAAAGTCGCTGGCCGTACACTGATAAGGGGGCGCCACTTCCGAATCGAGCTCAGCAGATAACCTCTTGGATCTGTGATGTCCTCAGAGGCTGCTCCAGGGATGCCAGATTTTTGTCCACGAAATTGGATTTTTTTTTGTTGTAGGGAAAAATAGGGAACATAAAAGGGCGAGGAAATGTTTGAGGATTTTTTGGGGAAATTATTTTCATCCGCAGTCGAGATAGAAATATTATTTTCTCAATTATTATGAATAAAAAAGAAACAACAGACGTTATTCCCCCATTTTTATGTATCAAAAAGAGAACTATTGATGCAACAGAATTGCACAGACTCTCCCGTATTAGTTTTCTATTTCCTATCGTCTCGGCTAGCTACGAAATTGCCACATATTCATGACAGTTGCCATCAAACGCTGTTCAAAGAATTTTTTTTTTGGGGGGGGGATTTTCTTAATTTTTCGGTTTCCTAATAGTAGAACAGAAATGTTAATTTAAGAATACTAAAACCTAGTTCTAATTGGCAATTTCCTTCCAAAAAATTGGACCTCTTTTTAGGAAAAAGGGGCTTAAGCGCGACTATAAATTCGAAATTTGAAGCGCTTTTTCATAGAAATGTTTTGATTTTTCGAAAAACTTCATTGGAAGTCATTTGAAGCACATTAATTCACAAATAAAATAGTGGTTACAAATTGCTAGACATGTCCATAATAACAGCGTCTTCCAAAAAAAAGAAAAAGAAATAAATTTCTGTAATTTTTGAAAAACAAAAAATACCCCGAAATGAACTTTATGTCATACTAAAGAGTGCAATTATCACTATCCGTTCGAAAAGTTTGAAGAAAAAAGTGTGGGGCGTTTTTGAGAAAATGAGTTTTGAGCGTTTGAGCGTTTCTGAAAAAGCAGAATTCTGGGGTAGTTTTCACAAAAAACGGTTTAGTTTTCGAGAAACATTATATGTAAATAATTATAAACAAATAATAACAAGTTAAAAATACAAACAAACAATATAAACAAACTGCCACTAGTAAAAAATATTAACGATGTGAGCGACAAGTAAAAAAATACATTTTTGAAATAAAACAAACAAAAGAATAGAGCAACATGGCGTTCATTACATCTTATAGAGTGCATTTAGCACTATCCCTAGCGAAAGTTTGAAGACAAAACTTGGAGCCGTTTTGAGAAAATCTTGTTTTTGTTATTTTGTAAAATTGCATATATTGTTCGCAACATTGCGCGTAAACTACTAAAATGCTCAAAAAAATGGACACGATTTTAATGAAAGAACTAATTATGGACAACAAATTTAATTTGAAGAAAAAAAGTTTTATTAGTATATTTTATTCTATTTTTACAAGAAATTTAAAGGAAAAATTTTGGAGCAGTTTTTGAGAAAATTTGGAAAATGTCCGGAGGCTTCATGTAAAGTACAGCAAAATTTTCAAGAAAGTTTTTCAAAATCGCAGCGCCTCGATTCTAGAAAGATCGACCGGGTAATATTCGATTAGGAAAATATCCTACGCGTGGTATAGGCGTTAGTGGTGTTCACAAGTAGACGGACGGACGTTTAAAAAAACAAACTTTTTCGGTATCCTGGGACCTTGAAACATGTATTTCCGTTGAAAAAATCGAAATGAATTTTCCGTAGCATTACAGAGCTTTCTCTATGTCTGTATACGGGAGATCAACTATTGGGACTAAAGTAGCACGTATTTTCTCGTCCATTCGTGCACTCAAAATTGCGCGAAAAGTAGTCAAATTTTCTAAAAATGGTAAATGACCTTATTTCAAACTCTATCTTTAAGAAACAGATTCCATTAAGGGAAAACTCTCTTTATAACTGTTGTTTTGAGAAGACGCTGAAATAATGTTGAATTTTCGAAAAATCAGTTTTCAATGAAAATGACATTGCAGCATTATTTTAAACGTCCTTCACACTATACAACAAAAAATAATTAAAACAATGGATCCATTATTTAAAAAAATTGAAAAAGTCACAGGGGATAAATATAAACTACTCCCCAAATTAAAATATCCCAAAATTACAACGATAATCTAGTAAACTACGATCTTACCGGTTGAATATGGCGTCTGTAACGCTGTAAACTGTTTTAAAAATAGTTTCATGCGTGGAAAATTTCTTTCATGTCCGGCTTTGTTAAAATATGTTCTTTCAGTATCTGGCATTGGACTTACCAATAAATCGTAGTAGTTGATAATGTCATACTCCTGTTCAAATGTTCCTAACTCCCAATTGCTTTGTATGCTACCTCTATACGGGGTATGAAAAGGTAATATTGCAATTTCAAAATATTAATCGCCATAACAAATACTTGCAGGTATTGATGATGCGAAGAGTTAGATTTTAGGACAGCTATGTTTTTTACGATTTTTTTCTAATATCCACAAAAATGTACCCAGCACATTTTGTATATTGCGACAAATGGTAAATGTAAAAATTCACATCATCCTAAATTCTGTCGCAACATCTTTTACAACTACATTTGATTCTTACCGTGATTTTCTTAAAACATCCATTTTTTCTGCCCTAATTTTTGAAAACATTAAAACTTCACAAATTTAGGCGTTAGCGTCGACCACAGACGGACGGTCAGACGTTTTGCCAATCCATTTTTCGTTTAAGAACCACAAAACATGAATTCTGGCTACACAACATGTTATAGAAAGTAATGTTCTTTATAAATAGCTACAATTTTATGCATTTTTTCGTTAGCAGGGCCTGGCAATATGAGTTTTTCTGACGAAAATTGCCCGTCCTCTGGCGCACGATTACAGAACGTTCCCTTCTTGCGAAGTAAATGCGAGGAATAAAAATGAAGTTGTTGTTGTTGTTGTTGTTGTTATTATTATTATTATTATTATTATTATTAATACTAAAACTAGCACTGCGGAAGCATCAGCATTTCTTCGAATTTGATGCTGCATTCGGCAGATGATAAGTCCCCAAAGTTAAAATGCGATGTATCTTCAACATCACATAAGTGTTTTAACAAAACACAACTTACTCTAAACATTGCTTTGAACTCCCTTCGCCATACAACACACGCAAATCGAGTTGTGAATATGACGGACGAGAATACCTGACTTTCCACAGCTCGAGTCGATTTGTAACACATTCTCAATTCTCTTCCACGAAGTAAATGATCCATGATCGTGATAGCGCTGCCCGGTGAGAGAATTACGAGACTGGAACCTGCTCATATGGCTTCGAGATTTTAATTCGTGTTTTGGTTCTTAGATGTCGTGCGTGTTCTAAAATCGTCATTGCCGTAATGAAAAGCCCCTTCGAAAGAAATGATTTTAACATTCAAAGTTAAAGTCTTGTGAAGCATATAAAATAATTAATATAACCCTCAAGGCCCGTTATTACATTTAATTGCGTCGTGTCAAGATTATATTTTAAAAATAGTACTATTTCTTATTTTTAGTTGAATTAATGCTTATTTTTATAAAATTGCTCTACGGAGCCAATGAGAGAGCTATCGGACAAACACAAGGACCAATCCGAAAGCACCTGCCCTGCTCGCCGGGTTGCTGGGCTGGAGACCTGGAGGGCAGCGTTTGTCGACTTGTAGACTCGTAGCAGTTGAGTTGTCATCTGTTTGTTTCTCGGGCAGCTGAAACGCCATCTAAAATGTAAGTCACATGTCTTTCGGGGTTCGCTTAACTATTTATTTTCATATCGTACAGAAATTACTATGCCAAAAATACTTTCGCATGAGCTGTTTACAGTATTATTTTGCACGAATACAATACACAGAAACTAATAAGGATATTCTCTTTCGAGCCTTCTCAATAGGAAAGCGTACAGTAGAGAAACATTTTCCATTCATTAAACCGTGAAAGTAAATACCATTTTCCATGAAAATGCATGTTCCTGCCTCTTTTAAAAAAGCTTTATTTTTGGGGTCGCATGAACTGTAAGGACATTAGATACTATATATACAATTCATTACAATGCATTAAATAAATGTATATTTTTAGAAATTTGAAAACATTATAAACTTGAGATGTTTAAGCAAATAATGTGGAAAGACAATTTGAAAGTGAATGTGTAATAAATGGGTCTGAATACACTTGGCAATGATTTAATATTATTGTTTTCCAGAAATGTTCGATCATTTCCCGCGACAATCTCATAAATTGGTTCATGCTACTTGTCAAAAAATGTATGAGTATTGAAAAAAATAGCTAGTTTAGAGATGTTTAGTACTTATATCATTAATTTAGCATTATAAATCAATGTAGAATTTGATGGTGTTCAGTATCCAGCGGTGAATGTGCACTAGTATGATTGTATGTTGAAAGGATTCCAATTATTTTGGACTCCTTACTCTGGATAATTAAATACAATATTCTTTCACTTGTATTGATAGTCCAAAATAATTGGAAACCTTTCGACATCCTAAAAACCTAGTAATGGAGTAACCTGATCACTTCCGTGTCCACGTCCACCAATCGAAAGGCGACGGAGCAGGCAAATCACGTGAGAGCACCTGCTCAAGGAAGGAGAGGACACGATCGACGATAGCACTCTCCGATTTAATCGTTTCTTACATATTTTCCATGATCCATTTCCATTTGATGAATTGATGTAAGTCATTTACACAGAGTGACTGGGGAGAAAATGTCGAAACGGTGGTGGAATTTTCGGGGCCAGCTGTATAGCTAGATCGAATTCACCCACTGTCTGGAGGAAACGTCTATCAGACGGCTGCTCTGATCGGCTGTATTACGCGTGTCTTTCGAACAGCACGAAGTGAACGTCGCGGCAATATCCTATCAAAATGGCAACGCAGGGAATCTCATAGAAGCGCACGTATATGGAGGACCAGAGCAAATAACACGGCCACCTCCCGCATTACAACATTCACTACACTAACGGGAAAGATGACGATAGAAGTTGAAAAACCCGGATTGATTGACTGGTTAGTGATTTCGGGCGTATCAACTTCTAAGGCCATTAGGCCCATAAGTGTAATGCATGTTTTGATCGCGAGAGGTGGCGGTTAACTTGTCTCCGCTGGAAGGCGAAATCTTCTGCCGACGTAACTCCGTCGCTTTAATGGCATTTGCCCAACTAGGTGTCTGTACTATCGGACCACTTTGCAAGCCGGAACAAGCTCTAAGCTTCCGACTAGTCTCCCGACATACGTAGTAGTGTAGTGCATGTGTGTGTATATAAGGGGCGAGGATAGAACAAGGAAGAGGAATCGCACAACGCCCGTGGCCCGTTTGTTAGGATACAGCTCCGGCATTCGCCTAGTGTTGATCGGAGAGACCACGCAAAACTACCGGTCAGAGCAGCCGGACGCTGTAATTCTCATCCAGACGGCGACCGACTTCTACCAGACTGTGTAGAAAACACTGCCGCCGTCGGGATTCGAACCCTAGGCCCTCCCGATCCGAAGCATCCCAATGACGTCAGGGCGGAGGTAGAAGCCGGCGCGAACAACCAATGGCGTGTGACCCCCTAATGAGCAACTGCCCTCTTCCGCAGGCAGGCGCACGGCGACCTGGAGCTGCGGCGGTTCCACTCCGCCTTGTCCTCGCTGCAGGCCGCCTTCGAGGAGATGACCTGGAACTCCATGTACCTGGTCGGCTACTGCAAGACGCTCGAGGTGTGCGACAGTTTGCACCTGCTCCTGCCCATGGAAGACGGATTCGATCAACTTGCTCGCCTCGTAAGCTCCTCTTTTCAGTATCTTTGCTCTTTGGTAAGGCCTGATTTGGAGTGATTAAGCGCGTAATAAACGGCTATATAAGTGAATGAATTGAACAAGTGGATAAATAAATACCTAAATAAATGGTTAAATTATTAAACGAATAAACGAACAAGTGGTTAAATGAATAAATACGTAAATAAATAGTTAAATGATTAAATTACTAAATGAACAAGTAGATAAATGATTAAGAACCTAAAGTAAGTGGTTAAATAAACGAGTAAATGAACAATTGGATAAATTAATAAATAACTAAATAAATGATTAAGCGATTAAATGAAAAAGTGGAAAAATGAATTAATATGTAAATAAATAGTTAGATGATTAAACGAATAAGTGAACAAGTGGATAAATGACTAAATACGTAAATAAATGGTTAAATAATTAAACGAATAAGTGAACAATTGGATAAAACAATAAGAATCTAAATAAATAGTTAGATGATTAAACGAATAAATGAACTAGTACATAAATGACTAAATACGTAAATCAATGGTTAAATGATTAACCGAATAAACGAACAAGAAGATAAATGACTAAATACGTAAATCAATGGTTAAATGATTAATTGAATTTGAACAATTGGATAAATGAATGAATGCGTAAATCAATGGTTAAATGATTAAATGAACAAGTAGATAAATGACTAAATACGTAAATCAATAGTTAAATGAATAATCGAATTTGAACATGTGGATAAGTGACTAAATACGTAAATCAATGGTTAAATGATTAAGCGAACAAGTGGGTAAATGTCTAAATACGTAAGTCAATGGCTAAATGCTTAGCCGAATGAAGACCAAGTGTCTAAATGAGGGTGGCGTGACGAAGCGGGCGTGCGCAGGTGCGGCAGATGCAGGTGACGCACAAGCGCCGCGTGCTGGCGGCGGCCGCCAAGGCGCGGGCGCTCATCCTGGACGTGGAGCGCATCCTGCAGCGCATCGGGCCCCCGCCCCCCTCACCCCGCCCCGCCCCGCACGCCCACTTAGCCGCGGGTGAGCAATGCACTCAGTATCACTATTATTATTATTATTATTATTATTATTATTATTATTATTATTATTATTATTATTATTACTATTTGCGTGTCGGCTATTTCTGACTAAGCTACGTGATTAACGTGTGTAACAATGGGGATCAGCTGTATCCCTCAGTAAGACAAGGTTGATTCAGTTGGAATTGTGAATGATGAGGTGAATGATGTGAATGAATTGTGAATGATGATGATTAGTGGTGAAGGGACAATCACCAATACGACCACGACTACGCAAGACTCTAACCTCCAGCCTCCGCGGCACCGACGACGGCTTCAGCAACCGTCAATTATTATTATTATTATTATTATTATTATTATTATTATTATTATTATTATTATTATTATTATAAGTTAACTCTAAATGGTAGGTAAAATATGTAGTTAACTCTAAATATTAGTTAGAATTGAAAAAAAAATGGATAAATAGTAATTTAATTTTTTGTCTTTGCAGGTTATCTAAAATGTCTCCAAAACTTGAAATTTGTAATTCATGGAGATAATTAAAAAGCGAAATTGATCTGCCTGCAAGAATTAACATGGCAGATTCACATGCGTGAGTGTGAAGAACGATTAACAAAATTTAAAAAATAATTGTACAGGTGAAAATTATAAACATGTGTACCATAAATTTCTATAATTTGTTCATCTGCCAGTGCTTTGCAAAGAATAGTACTAGCATGTCTGTACTTATTACTAATTATACTAGTACTCTTTACTGTACTAATATGCCTCAGGTTCCGGCAAATTTTACAAATTGCATATTTTCTAACATTGAATTTAACAATATCTATTAACCCCAGCAATTTCAATATATAAACGGACTTGTGTATTACCATGAGGGTGGGGCACACTACTTAAATTTACATTTTATTGATTTTGTAGCATTTCATTAATCAATAAATTAATATAACTGATAATATGCATGTGAATTCATCTCAATGTTTGTGAAATTCATGTGAAATGTTTAGTGATTAGTAAATGGTAGTTTTTATCCATAGCCAATAATGCTGCAATAACTCAATTTATAATAAACATTTGTGAAAATATTTCGATAAAAAACATAAATAAGATCAATGATATTCAGCATCCTAAAAAAATGAAACCAATAAAAAGCAATAGGTAGTTCTCTGCCCGAACACCTCCGTGGAATGCTAGGGTTAATGTTGTTATTTATTTTATTCTAGCCCGAAATTCTCTTGCAATCGAAAGTATGAAATCACTCCCAATTAATGCTTCAATAACTTTCCTCTTGGTAATAGACTTTTAAAAACAAAATCGATCAAAATAATTCCATGCCTTGTAGTTCGAATAAGTTCTTTTCAGAATAAAACCAACAAAGGCCAAACAATTTATTTCGTAATTTTACAGATATTGTATTTTCTTTCAGTATTCGATTTATGATTGAAATTCAGTCATTGACTAAATTAAAGTAATCTTAATATTTATCTTCCGTACATTTATATGTTAAGTTCTGGTAGTTCATGTTTGAAAAAAAAGAATGTAGAGGCCATAAGTGTACGGATTATTGCAAAATGATTCTTAAATGTGCAATGTAAACTCTCATAGAGTTTGTAAGTAAATGTAAATTCGAAGGTATAAGATTCACTTCTGAAATTACACTTACGTCATTTTGAATTCAATAATCATGACGTAACAATGTACTTCATTTTTAGACAATAAAACCAGTACAGTTACAATTATGTTTTATTCATTTTCATTATATACTTAGATATACTGTTCAAAAAGAAGTTTTTCAAAAATGACTTACTTAAAGAAAGCAATGTATATTCAAAAAAAATAATATCTACTACTACAACATTCAACGTAGTAATAACATTCATCATATGACACTGTAAAGAGCTCACTACAAAAAATCACGTAATAATACATGTACATTATTTAACAAGAGATTGCCAAGGAGAGGAGAGAGGAGAGAGGAGAGAGGAGAGAGGAGAGGAGAGGAGAGGAGAGGAGAGGAGAGGAGAGGAGAGGAGAGGAGAGGAGTCCATGTTCTAAGAAACCTTCCAGCACCTGAGCTGCAGCACCGGTGGAGTGCTACACCGAGGGAGGTATCGATGTATATGAGGCCTGGGACGTAGTCGGTGTTCCAATACATCAGATTGTGTTTCGATAGGTTCAAATCAGGACTCTGTCCATTACATGGATGTTATCTAGTAACCACTCTCTCAAAGGCCGGGCAGTATAGACATGTACTCGATCGTGTTGAAAGATGCAATCGCAATTTCCGAATTGCTCTTTAACGTACACCATCTTAGGAGTCTTTTTGATCATATATAGTCATATTTTATTTGCTGTTCTTGAGAAGTGTACATGTTAGTTTTTGAAAAACCATTTTGTGTGATTTTGTTTAGCAGCATGTTTGCTTCCTCTAACCACTATTGAGTTCTATTATCACCATGCGACCTGCAATATGGCTACAAAGACAACAGTGAGAACACACGTAGGTGAATGAGGTGGTGAACGTTGCTGGGAGGCAACACGCAAAGCACAGGCGTATAGCAAATTGCCTATTGACCAGGCGCCATCGTTTTCAATATTATCTTTTTTTGGGAACTGTACTTACAACTTTTTCTAGTTACTAGAAGCCATTATGTATGATGTGAAGCCCTTTTATGTGATAAAATTACCTTCCACATATCGATCCCACAATTCAACTACTAAATGCTATTTAAATTTTGTAGCGTGTCAAAAATTGCCAGATTTTCAGCCATGTGAGGCCGCATAAGGCGTGCGGAGGATATGGACGAAACGTGATGAGCGGGAGGGACAGGTAGAGCGAAAGGGGAGGATGGGAGTTGTGGCCCGACGCCCATGACAGACCGGATAGGGCATAGAGGGGAAACTGGCGTATAGTGCGAGGTTGCTAAATTGACGATAGGGAGAAATATATACATGCGGACATACACAAAAAGGTTATAAGATCCAAATACATGTTCCTCTATGTACGAGTATACCGACACGCTGAATCCGTATGTGAAGACAGAATTGCGCCATCCTTCTCCAATATTTTTAATCGCGAAAAACAACCGGTAAATTTTGAAGTGCAAATTTTACACTGGTTTTCCGTGATTAGAAACAACTGGTGTGTGACGACTAGGAAGCGTATTTTAATGAAACGTCATCCTTTTTCTTTTCACTTTGGAACAATACAGTTTAGTATAGAAAATCATTATATGTTATGATAAAACGCAATGACCCATTTGTATGTCATTTTTTTGCATTTTTCGTCGATTTACATTAATAAGTCAATTATTATCTTTTACGTAATTTTTAATGCATTTTTTCGCTAATTTAATTGATTTTAATATAATTTTAATGCTATTCTCTTTAAACAATATTTACGAGGTGTATCTGATGTTCGCTACAGAATTCGTGAGTAGCCTATTAGATTTATTCGCTCATATACTGTAATATCAGACGTGAGAAATACGTAATTTAAGATTCATGTGACGCCTATTGGCGCCATTGTCAGTTCGGCCGATTTCGCTATAAATGAAGGCAGACATTTTCTTTTAAAGAACAGTCCAAACCAAAAATTTGCAAGCTGAGTTCATTGGAATGAAAGGAAGAAGCCTCGATTACATCAGTAACATACCCAGCAGCTTGAGTTGTTCATCTGAACTCTTTCTAATCAAATTTTACGTCATTTTTTTTTGGATCGTTAACATTTGAAGTTCGGTTTTTGAAATGTCGATCATAGAAATCCACCCCCTAGTAATGACGCAATTCTGACTTCAGATTTGGATTCAGCACGTCGATTTACATGGAAAAACACAAGTCAAGTCTTTGTCTCTGACAAATTTTGTTATTTTGTGTACCTGTGATATCATCTGATAAGCAGCTAATTGGAATATATTGTTAGTTCAAATTTAACGATTAAAACAAATGAGTAATAGATTAATTTCTTATAAATTGAAACTTCAAAAATTATTTAATTTTGAAACTCTGTACTTTAAATGTCGTAGTATCCGGTAGATCCTTTTTTACGATTATTTTAACTGAGTTTATTTCAACATGAGTGTATATTATGTATTATATATGCCACATTGCGTGAAGAAATGCATCAAGGTCCACCACTATAAGATTGCTTTTACTGGTAGCTAGTTTTCCACGTAAAAGGATAAAGTGTCTATTACGCACAACTCTCGACCCGGAGGTTGTAGGGATCCAGCTACGGCGGTGGCGGAGTTTCAACACTGCCCAGATAAAACCAACTCAGCCGGTGTTTGGAGGAGAAGTCTACTGGCCGGCTGCTCTGATCGGGAGTTTTCCATGGCTTCATCGATCTGCACAAGGTATATGTAGTGACCAGAACACCTTAACAAATGGGCCATGGACCACGCGCGATTTTTTCTTCTTTTCTTCATTATTTTCTCTTGCGTGCTTACATACACACACTTATTCCCTGATTCTTGGGCCCCAATGAAACAGAAGCTCCCTATTGGACAGCAATGCCCCTACCCCTTCTTACCCCCCTTCGAGAAGTTTAAATCGGAGAATACACTTATATACACCGCCACTCATCGGTAGAATAGTTGGAAACTTCGAGCATGGCCCGGCTGGAGCGGTGCCGCCGTTGGGAGATACCTGGTTGTAAAATTGGGGATTAATATTTAATGTAAAATTGTGGATTTAATCGTAAACAATGTGGATTAATATTTAATCCAGAAAGAAAAGTACGGGAACCGAAATCAACCTCAGGTGTATTAGATATTGCCATTTATGAAAATGAAAAATCATGCGAAATAAACAGCTTTTCTAGAGCACCTACTCAATACTTCTCTTTCAACTATTTAAATATATTAATTTAAATGCTCCGTTCCCGTTTACAAGCAGCTATTGTTCATCTGCAATTATAATTATGGTCGAGTGTTTGACTAGCAACTAGGGATGCGACATCCATATCGATGTTTTCAAAACATCGATGTTTTACAACTCCAGTGAAAATATCGATGATTTTTAGTCGATGTATTTTTAAAACCGATGTTTTAGTTTTGAACATCGACGTTTGCTTACATTAAACATCGATGTCGCATCACTACTAGCGAAAGGCACGACCATACCATCACAACATTCGTTAAGTCGCAGCACTTTTGAATAGCATCGGATTCACCTTTCAGAGTATAAGTTTTCATTCAAGGAAGTTGTGAAAGAAATACGAGACAAATGAGTCATGCCCAGAAAAGGAAGTCGACGCGACGGTTCATATTACTCGCACCACTGAAAGCAACGGCAGCTGCTGCTAGGAGCCGAAACAATTACGACGATCTACACCGACATTTGAGATTCAGAAGTCATTGAAAGGTCAAATTATGAAAAGAATGGGACCGGCCTTGTGCTCCAAGGTATTAAGAGAAGCATTGGAATCGTAGCGCATCGTAATTAAAGAACTTATTTCCAATTTTTCTTCCAGGGAATACAATTTTACAGAAAAGGAAATTCATATTCGAAGTGAGCCTTATAGTATTTTTTCATTTAGTTTTTTTGCTTATTCATTGAGGCAAGGCGTCTCCAAACCCCTAGAAGAGCATTGGGAGCTTGCTTTTACTAAGGAGTAATCCTCCGTTAGCATTTATTATTAAGCTACGGATTGTTCTCCATTTGCCTATTTTTGCAATCTTTTGTGTTACTTATTCATTTTGAGGCATCAGGAGCATTATATTTGAATTTTATAGTACCTACTTTTCGTTTTTATTCTGCAGTGTACAGAGAATCGAACAACTATCGATAAATCTATGTTCCTTTTTACTGCCAGCACAGGACATATATTTCGTGTGACGAAAATCGTGCAAACTCACTGGTAGTAAAGCTATTTTTTTACTTCGCATTTTCAAACTTTTTTTTTTTTTTTTTTTTTTTTGCCTAACACAGCTCCAATTTTTTTCTTAAAATGTTTACCTCGTATATATCAAAGGACAGTAAAAAAATTGGTGCCAGTCCCATGTGTTTTCTCTGTATTTTCGAAAATAAACTAAGTTATCTAAAGACTTTTCTTTGGCTATTGCTACTTGCCGAGCATTGTTCACAGTCTCGTCAAAAGGTGTGCGAAGTTGGCGGCCTGAATTTTGAAAATCCTATATAGTTTGAGAGTTCTGAGTAGCGAACAAACAGTTGTAGAGTGCTGAAAAAGTTTCAAAAAACATTCTGCAACATTTCTTAAGTTAAAACCAAAAATTAAATTTAAATGGCAAAAAAGCTGCGGGCTAAAGTCAGAAAATTCAAAATTTTCCAAGAAGTCTCAACTGCGGTCAAAGAGTTCTTCAATTCTCAAAAACATTAAAAAAAAAAAAACTTCTATTTTCTGAAAAAGAAATCGAAAAACTATATTTCTTCACATGTGATCAGTGTTGTGGATAGCAAACGAGTTCTAAAGAAAGTTGAAATACCCTTTGTCGACCGACGTCAAACATGGGAGTTATTAAATATTTTCATGTTCATTTTTTTGGTGGTGGTGTTGAGATTTTAGAGCAAAAAAACTCAAAATTTTATTTCATCAATTCGGAATGTAGTTTTAAATAGCGAACGATGATTTCTAATAAACTTCAAATACTTTTTTCTCACCCAACGTAAAACACAGGAATTATTCAATATTTTCATGTTTGTTTTTCTTAAGTTGAAAATTTAGCAGAAAAATTTCAAAATGAAGTTTTATCAATTCTGACCAGAGTTCTGGATAGCCAACAAAGAGTTCTAATGAAAGTTTCAATACGCGTTTTTCGTCTCACTTCAAACCCGGGATTTATTCAATATGTTCATGTTCGTTTTTCAAAACACGGGACGGGTCAAGGCAGTCGCCTGCCCAGCATGTTGCTCTCCCTTGACAGCTAGGTAGACAATAGACAGACGGGGGGGGGG